CCCCCAAAAACGCTACTGCGCGTCCTGCAAGTCGCCAACTCACTTCATGACCTAGCCGCCCATTGAAATGAATTTTGTCTCGTTGAAAACCACCCCACCTATGTACCTCTCCGTTTATATCCACCACCTCAAAGCGTTTCTCTCGACTCGTCCACCATATCTCTTGATTTGCGTTGACAACCGCTCTTTGGAAGTTGCTGTCACGCACCGGTACCTCCGGTATCATGCATATCACTATCTGTACTTGAGGAGAAGTGGCGGGCATTTCATCGACGCCTTTCGCCAGTGTGGTTGCTAGTCCTGCTGTATCTTCATTTAAGACATCGCTTAAACCGACTGAAATTATCACGAGGTTTCATCTATCAGCTGCAGTTTTGAGTTTTGCACTCGCTTGCCTCATGACAGCTTCCAGCTTGCGTCCTGGGAACTGCCCTACTAACCTTATTGTCACCTCTTACCGTCTCTTTGATAGCTTCCGTGCATCGATTTAAATTCGAGTCCCCGGCGATTATCACATGCTGTGACTTTTCAGCTGGAGCGTCCTGCACCTGGGGGCTACTTGCACCTGTGACGCCGGCTGCTTTGTCCCCTCTCAACCCCACCACTACTTCGCTTAAGCTGGGCCTTGCAACAATTGAACCGGCTGAACCTGTTTTTCCCAAACTTGCTTGCTCTTTCTTTTCCACCGTTCTTGTTGCCGGTTCCCTACTGTTCTCTCCATAGGCCGCTCCTCTGTTCACCTTGGATAGTGCTTCCTCGGCGGACTTCAGTCTTTCTCCCATAGCCCTCGTTTGCTCTTGCTCTGTCGCCAACGCAGTCTCGAGCTCGGTGATTCTCATCAGCAGGTCACTCCGGGTAACCATCTTTTTCTCCATTTTTTCCTCGACCTCACATTGCCTACATTTCGCGTCAGCCTCTTCTCGTTCCACTTCTACACTTGGGTCTACTTTCAAACCAACCCCACATTTTGAACACTTTACGGTCTTTTAAACCATGTCTTTCCGACACCAATTGTCACCGTGACTTGTCTCACTCGATAAATCCCAAACTCGAGCCCTGCCCTACGAAAAAGTGAAAGTCTAAGCTCTACTACAAAAATTTGCGTGTTGAATGTACGTGCACCTCCCGCACGGGGGGGGGGGGGCAAAAAACAAACAAAAAACAAAAAATCTAACACACACACACGCACAAATTTTTAAATATCTGGTGACTGACTCCCGAAAAAGCCGTACAATAAAATAAGTGTGCTACAGGAATTTTGACTGCTGCCTTATAATTATAAAGACAAGCTCAAAACATGCAAAACAAATTATCTGCGCAGTCGATCGGGAGCACACATCTCTATGGGACAATGCCATCTCAGAAACGAGAGGAGAAATGGCGATGACGACACAGAATGCGCACAGTGCGATCTCGTGTATGGTCACCCAACTGCTGTTTGCATGAATCTCTATGGCACGGCACTATTTATTGTATGATAAAGAAGACGCTACTGGGTACGCCGGAGAGACGAAGGGTTGCCCTATACCAAAAGAAGCTTCGCCTTTAAAGGTTAACGCGATTCGAGCCTAACCCTTCACGCTACGAATGCGAGTGACTTGACCATGGAGCTATGCACCAACGATTCCTTGGCCAAAATGCATGTGAACTATGTGAATTCATCGTACCAAAAAAAAAGACGTATTTGCGTTGCAGCACCAGGAATCGAACTTGGTCATTTACGCTGTGAATGCGAGCGCTTTGACCATTACCATAAGTACCAATTCTTTCGTGAACCGCATGCCTAGAAACCATATAAATTTGTTGTACCTCCAAAAAACGTTACGATGCATCACAGGGATTCGAACCAAGTTCTTCCACCTCAAATTCGAGTGCCCTAACCACTGAGCTACACAACAGTCTATAGTTGGCCCGTATGCATCAAAACCTTGGTCTGAACCATATAAATTTGTGGTACCGAAGAAGAAATAAGTTTACGTTACAGTATTCGCATTCAAACCTAGTTTTTCACGCTGTGAATACGAGCACCCTAACATTTGGGCTGAGCACGAATGCTTCCTCAACTCGAAAGCCTATGGACTGCATGAATTCGTCGCATCAGAGAAAAGTAAAGTTAAAATAGCAGCAGTGACACTCGAAAGTGGTATTCTACGCGGTGAATTTGAGCGCCTGAACCATTGAGCTAAGCACCAACACTTGCTCGAGACGAGTGCATATAAACCTTATGAAGGCGTGGCACCGACGAATAAAAATGAAAGTTTTATCCTAGCAGTGCTATTTGATCCTGGTTCTTTATGATGTGAATCCGAGGGGCTAATAGGACAGCACCCACAGAGGCTATGTGGAGACGGATCACATGATGCAGTGCCTGTGGCAGCAAAAAGAACGACAGGAACTAATCATCTACCGCCGCCAGTTAAGCAGCCACGGATGAGTGGTGGGGGAGTCCCATAGAGTGCCAAACTGCCTTGCTGAGTTGGCGAAGCAACTTCTCTAAAGAAGGCGATATGAAGAGGGCACGATTACGCTATCGCATTGCACTTTCGACGCGAAGCTCAAGCAGCCTTAAACATTTTTAATACTTTATCTCATATTATTATTAATATTTATGTGTGTATGTTGGACCAAATGGGCACGTTATCTAGCCACCAAAAATCTCGTAAATTTTGAGTTTTGAAATTTCCATTTTATTAGTGAAACTTATTTTGGTTGAAGTTTTTAGCAAAGAGGTAAGCAAGCCTGTTCGCGATTATGACTGAGCGCTCGCCAACTGGCGACCTCACCTTGAAACGGCACTAACAGGTTTGACCGTAAAAAGAGGTGTGTTATTCCTTAGCGAGCTTTGAGAGCGGGTTCTCGGTTCCTTCATTTTTGCCATGCCACGCGTGCGAGTAAATTAAAGAAGAAAGCAATGTACAAAGGACATTGCTTGTTGCCGCAGTGCGTGGATTCGCGGTTCTATCACTTCCCTTAAGATGCAGTGACAGAAAATGGCGTAGATCAGTAACTTACTCATTGAAAAGAAGGTGACTGACAGTATAGCAGTTCGTTTCAATGACTTTGCCCGTGACGACTTCAGTTGAATACAACATTAGTGCGTGTGCCTTCGTGACAATATTTGGGATCCTCCAAAAGCGCAGTACAGTTTAGCTTGTATAAGCAAGCGCTCAAGGAAACTAGTTGCCGTATGTGTGTATTGTTGGCGTAAACGCTCATTTTTTGTACAAGGCTTACTGTTGCCCACTTTAAAATCAAGCTGCTGTAACGCTTGCCCTGAAATTTATTTTATTTAGCATGTGTGTAAATTATAACTTGGTGAAAATTGTGGAGCTCAGTAAACCCAGTCATCGAATATATATAGTTCGCGCTTTGGGCTTACTTGGATTTACACTCATCAAAATGTTTCTGAGCCAGACTCTCAGAATCACACTCGCGAAAAATTTAGGGGCAGAGCTCCTTATGCCGCGGGTCGTGAGTCCGCGATGTATGTATGTATGTATGTAGTAGTAGTAGTAGTAGTAGTAGTAGTAGTAGTAGTAGTAGTAGTAGTAGTAGTAGTAGTAGTAGTAGTAGTAGGTAGCCACTTATCGTTTGGTCCTTGGAATGTACACTGAATGGTGGTGCTTCTATACTTCAATATAATGAATATAAGATGAAAAGATGCGAGGTGGTGGTAATTGGAGTGTTCACTAGATGGACGGACGAATGGACCACGGATGAACAGACAGACAAGCGGATGAACGGATGGATGGACGAATGCATGGATGGACGCGCGGAAGGACGGACGGACGAACGCATGGATGGACTCACGGACAGACACACGGACGGACGGATGGACGCACAGATGGACGAATGAATGGACCCTAAGACGGATGGATGGACGGACGGACGAATGGACCGAAGAAAGAAGGAATGGACGGATGGAAGCACAGACGGACTGACCAACGTTTTGCCCCACTCTTCATTATTCAGTTCGTGGATACGCAGTGATTTTTTCTAGGCCGAACTCTCAGACTCACAATCACCTAATCTTCATGAGCCAGGATCTCTCAGAGATACAATCACGAAATGTTTCTCTACTGAACTCAAGCGGACTGAAACTCCCCAAAATAACGCTCCCCTGGTCTCCTTCAGAGTCAGACTCACAGCTAGACGGTAGGGTGAGTGAGTCGACTCATGAATTTATCAGTCTAGAAAAAGTTACTTTTTCACCCTGATGTCAGTGATCTTTAACGCTATTGTCTCACGTAAAGGTGCCCTTCCTGGCATCGTTTGATATAGCACCTTCAAATACGAGTTATAAGTGGTTGCAAAGCGATAAGGACGTTTCTCTTGAAAGGAACTACAACGTTAAATAAATTTAATAAAAAGTTCGCTGAAAGAATTGATGGGCGGGATGTGAGGTGCTTTTCTACGTATTGACTCATCTGTTCAATGAGTGATTTATTGCTATGTGGAATATCACGGCCTGAAACCACAATATAATTGTGAGAGGAGACGCCGTAGTGAAAGGCTCCGGGAATTTCGACCACCTGGGCTTCTTTAACGGGCACCCACATCTGAGCAGACGGACTCCTCTGTTCAAAAAATATTGAAAATATGTATGAACGATACTACTTTAAAACACGTGTTTATTGCGTTTACACTTTTGAGGAGAAATGCAAACCAATGTTTTGGATGGGAGAATTTTCGACTATGAATGGGAGAAATAAATGTTGCGAGAAATGGGGAAAAAAGAAAAGACATTCGAACAGACCAATTGCGTAAAAGACAGGAACCCTTGGCAGTAAATTTTTGCGAACTTCAATTTGTAAAGCAACAAATGAGCGTGGGTACGAAACGTTCAACAGCTCTGCGCTATGGCCACTGCCCAACAGCTCTACGCTATGGCCAGCGCAGCCTGTGCGAGGACTGCCGTACAGGTACATCGAATATTCCGGTAATTGTATCGCACTTTCTCTGGCATCGACTTCCACGGGCTTGTGTTACTTCACCGGCAGCTTGTGCGAGCAGTTTCGCTTGGAAGCGCTCGCTGTCAGTCTGCAGCCTTCGGCCAAACAGAAGACGCCTTGCTACGTGCCTGTGGAGGACGATCGGAGGGTGGCGAATAAGACGATGTCCATCTTATTCACCGTTCTTACTGCAGCAGGTGAGTAATTAGGAATAGTGCAATAATACGGCTCGATAAACTCTTATCAATAGCAGGGGCCAGCTGTCCACACAATGTGATGCGGCACATTTGTTTTGTTTTAGCAGGATATAAATTATTAAAGTCTGTTAAATTCTTCGATCGTTAAACAAATAACTTTCTAACCATATGTCTGTCTTCCCTTTGGCTGACACATCTATGCAGCGAGAGTTAGTTTTTTTCGAGTAGATTGCACGGCACTATGATTTATTACATTTAGGTAACTACCATTCGCGTCGGAAAGAGCCCTCATAAACAAGACCTTTATGCTCTTTCTCTCTTGACGTTGTCCATCGCAAGTGCTGTCGGCCTTTCTTGCTGCCGACGCGTGCCAACCGGAGAACGTGGACCGATGCGTGAAGGGCGTGTACGACAGCTCCAAGGGTGACCCGGCCTTCCTTCCGCTGAGCGCAGAGCAGCTGTCGCACTTCTGCACGTTTGTATCTACGGACATTTTGTCTCGATGCTTTCAGTGATACTAGTTGCGGGGGTTTTACGTGCCATAAGCACGACATCATTAGGTACGTTGTAGTGGTGCATTGCGGATTGACTTTAACCACCTGGCGTGCTCTAACGTTCACCTGATTCTAAAAGCGTGGGTGTTCACCTTCGATGAAATAATTTTCGAACTGAGTCGTTTCATACGTTGTGACTACATTGCTGTATTTCATATGTATGATGTATGAAGCGACCGTCGAGTACTCGACATACTTTCAATAAAGCAATTAACCCATTTATCATAGTAATAATAATAAAATAATATTATAAAATAATTGAATAAATATTGATTTATTGGAAGAACTTTTCCATGTAACAATATAAATGTAGGTCGTCGCTAGCCAATTTGATGCCTTATAACGCTGCAGAAATACCTTCTCCCTGCCGCATTAAATAAACTGCGGAGCTAACAGGCAGCCCGCGAGCCGTCACTAGGGAAAAGTATGCGGAAAATCTTGCGAAGTTCAATGCTTTATTGCAGACACTGCAGTGACACATTTTTTGCGAACGAAGTGCAGAATAAAATTATCAACTTCCTTTAGAAGATGCCGACCAAATTCAAGGTAACTAAGGTTTCGTGTTGCTTAGTCTGTATATAATAAGTGCTGCAGTTTCCGCCCTTTACATAAAAAAAACCTGAGCATTGGGGACATGATTCAATTATTCAAACTCAATTTGAAAGTTTGGTAGCTGTTGTGTCACCGATTACAGACGCAATGATGAAGGGGTTATTAAACGAGCTAACGTAAATGTTTCAGACGATGAACAATATTCAGGGAATATGCCCGACAAATATAGAGCAAAACGCCCCTTTGTGCACTTTTAATGATCACGAGGGTTGTCTGTACTCCATATTCCTGTGTTAGAAAGGCATCAGACTGTTGGTGATAGGTTATTTTTCGCGCTAAGATGACTTAAGATGATGATAAATGCGAGTGAATACTGTGACAAAAATATAAAGTGGTTCCTTTTCTTTAAAAAAGCCGTCCAAAAGTGCTTCAAATTGAGACATACTTAACAAAAAAAAAAACTTACGAAAACATTTTAACTCTATATGGGAGACGCGAATGTTGGGCAACTACTACAGACCAATAAAGAAAACAACATCTCTAAGTAACGTTCTTTTTACATAACTCCATCTCTATGAACTTATGCTCGTCGCAATTCTCGGCCTATGAGATCACACAGAAACATCAATACTAATACGAAAGGGATTGGCATTACAGCCAACACCTTCGTGTCGTTAAACTTATACCCTATCACCTGCAATATGAAGCACACAGAAGCTGTCCTGAGCACCTCAACTCCAGACTAATCAGGTCCATAAAGCACACATGCGACCAAATACTAAGCAAAAAAAAACTTTCGCATGGACCCTGAAAAACACCGAAGCAATATTCTTGCTTCTTTACGCTCCCTCAAAATCGACTAGCATCATCCTTAACCTACTCGTAGGACGTCTTCTGGTGCACACTCCGATGTGTGTTTTTGGCAAACCGCGCAACGCTTATCTTTAAAGGAACACTGACATAAAACTTCAAGATTGATATGTGCCCATCATTCGATTGCTTGGCATGCATAGGTCTTCTTGGCCAAATTTTAACGGCATCCGTCACGTGGATGTTGTTTTAATTCGATGTCAAACAGCGTAGAAAGGCTAAGGAGAAAAAACTAAAGGCAGACTGTCCTGCGACATCGACACTAGTGCTACGTGTTCGGTGTGATACATTCCTCCAATACCATCCTGAGTGACGATGCCCTAGTAGCGATGACGTGTACGATCTGTGTGTTCTTATCGTGGCGCCGAATGGCGCCGAATCGCAGAAACGCCCTCGCTCGTCGCGTCTGAACTTCGTCGCACTGGTTTGAATGATTTCATGAAGTTATCACGATAAAAACCACCTTTAAAAGAACGGCGAAAGAAAAGAGCATGATTAAACGTGCTCTTGCCGGTCAGCATGTCGGGGAAGCCTTGTGAGTTGCAGAGGAGTTGCAGTCGTCTAGTTCAAAGCATGGAGAAAGCGCAATGAGGGTGTCATTGCATATCACGCATGTGTTACACATCAACACGACCACAAGCTCTCAAAAGTGGAACAGCGTATAGTCAGATATCATCGCTAACAAGTAACATGTAGGTATTGTTTAATTTTAGTTCATCTGTATACTTTGCGTCCACGTATAAGTGGTAATACCGTGTTAACCACGAGAGGTTAGATAGGTGGGGCCATCTGGAGGCGCAAAAAAGAACTTGCAAGCAGGAAACTTATTCTATTTTTCCGCTGATGCTCATTCGCGATAGCTATATTGCATTTACCCCTTTGCGTATACCTGAATGCTTTGCACGCCAAAGCACACCTATATAGCTAACTGAGACACACGAGTGAACATGGCTGAAGCGTGCAGCCTCGGGAACCTCTGCAGTGCTGCTTGCAACAACGTCCATTTTGGAATAATTGTTCCGCAAACGGTCGATCGAAGCAAAAGTAATTCGCGACGTCGCGAATCGCCGAGATTCCAAGCTCCAGACTACCGTATTGAACCCGAGTGGACACTTGTACGGCGACGACAGCAATGCACGTGACAAGGCATGACTGAATGTGTCCACCTAGCAGACGAAATGTTTGAGAGCGTACAACAAACGCTCTGCCAGCCCTTTTGAGCTGGGATGCTGTAAGTACAAGACGACCACCCATTTCTTTAACGGGAAACTTCAATTCTTCTGGAGTGAATCGTAGGCTGTTAGCGACAATCGCTTCTGTGAAACCGAACCAGGCAAACCGTTTTCTCAATCTGTCAGCTCTAGCATCCACCGTAGTCGAGTTCATAAACCACTCAAGGCGACTTGGAATGCATGTCAACAACCACAAGAAACATTACGTGCAAAAAGGCGCCGGTGAAATCTATATGTATGCGCTGCCACGGCTCTGGTGGCTAACACCAAGGATGAAGGGGTGCTTTGCATGACTCACAACAACGTTCTTGACAACTTCCGCAACCCTTGGCACAGTGCTAGAGGTTCGCTTCGATGGACGGTCAGAAGACGTAGCTCCGCGCCAGTTGCTTGTTGCGTGCGATGCCTGGGTGCCCTTAGTAAAATTCGTCCAACAGCAAGTTACACAACTTTTCCAGCACGAGCACCACGTCCCGAAGATGATGCAGCCTTAGTGAACTGTAAGCTCGACGCGTCTGTGAAAGTAGCCTTCATTTTTTTTTTCCAAGGCACAGACGATGATACTTCGACACTAACAAAATCCATCACTTTTCGAAACAGCTGTAGTTCGTGCAATGTCTTGGCTTGAAACTGGCATTTATCAGAACTGCTATGAATAAAATATTTTCTTTGGTTCTTACGTTTAGTCTTCCACAACTGATAGTGGGAGGCTCCCGCAAAAATTGAATGCAGTGTTCTTGCTTGATAGTCTGAAGATAGGCGGATATTGATAAGCTGATAGTATGACAGCACGGTGCTGTACACGTGCTATATGGTTAGCATATCGGTTGTTGTACCAAGAACTGTCTGAAGTGGTTTATGGTCGGTCACAACGTAAACGAATGACCGTTAATGTAGGAAACTTTGTAACAATGAATACTATTGCAAGGACCTCTTTCTTAAGCTAGCTGTATATATTTTTGACATTGCTTAAAGTCCACGATGCGGTAGAGATTGGCTTCGTGCTACCGTAATTCAAACTATTAAAAAACAGTGCCTAAACCATATTACGATGCATCGCATGATATATCTATAGCTGCAATGGTTTGCATGGGTATGCGCCAAAGTGGAGGGAGATGCTGGCAAGCTCTTAACTTCGGCGAAAACTTCCTGGCAGTGCTTATCTCTGCACGAAGGGGCGTTTTTACGTAGCAACATGAAAAATAGCAGTGCTATCGTTGCTAAGTAAGGAAGGAACTTGCCGCAGAAACTGATGACTCCCATGAACGACTGCGCTTGCGCCTTGAGGAGTACTTGAAACTCTTCTGTCGTTGCAGAGATGTCTTCAGCGCTGAATCTGTGAAACGAACTCTTCTATTTCTTGACCCACACGTTTCTTTAAGGAGTCTTTGAGACAGCTTCTAAGTTTATGAAATGCTCTTTGCTATCTTTACCCGCAACCAGAATATCGTCGAGGTAGCAGCAAACCCTGCGCAAGCCCTTCAGCATGGTGTAAATAATTCAGTAGAAAATTCCAGATGCAGACGAAATTCTAAATGTGAGTCGAATAACAGCCAACAACCCTTTCTGCGTATTTAACGTGATATATTGCTTTGACTACTGGCATGACCGCTTGCTGATAGGCCTAATTGAGATCTGTTCTGTTCTAAGTGTTTTGCTGTAGAGAGGTTGAGGTCCATATTGCCTCGGCTACTCCATATCAATAATTTCTGCAGCGAAAAAAAACAGAATAATATGAAACGGCACTCAATAATGAACAAAAAGCATAATACCACACTGAAACCTGTTGAAATATTATGCCAATGTAGGCTTTGCTTGCAGCTTTTCACACAATCATAATGTGCTCACAGCACGCTTTTCTTGTCCCTCTGTCGTCGTTCTGATCTCGCGCTATAATAATCGTCATATCATACGAACTAGCCCTAACCGCCATGCTAACGCCACCATCTTGCTTGATTACGGGTACTGCTGGCAAAGCGTATTGTGACATCGTAAGGCGCTATATTATCCCCAATTTTTCCGTTGTAGACAGCTAAGCGTCATTGTCTTTTTGAAACGCAGATGAAACATTTCTGACATCTTGGAACCTCGCCTTCATAAGTGGTTTAAGGAAAACTGCAGTGTGCTCTTCCATGATTGGGCCTAAGTCACCTTCGAAACTTATTATGTCGGATTCTATGTGCCAAGACCACGATATAATCACGAAAGACGCCGTAGTGCAGATATCTGGAAATTTGGACCATCTGGTCTTCTTCGACGTGCCCTGACGTCACACAGCATACGGGACTCAACAATTTGGCCTCCCCCGAAATGCGATCATGTTCGAAAAATAGTTGGTAGTTCGCCAGCAATACTGGCGCCTCTTTTTTTCACTAATACGACTAGTGTATGGCCTTCATATGTTGTTCAGGTTCCTTATTTTCACCCACTCCAGCCGCGCAGCGTGTAGCCGCTGCCGGCCCAGTAGAGGTGGTCGCTTATGGTGCACGGCGTAAAGCGGAAGATGCGTCGAACGTTCGCTCGGCTGCACGTTGACCGAGAACACCTCCTTGCATCCTATCAGTGCTCCTGTACAGGTACAAAGTTGTATGGTAGTAGGCTTCAATGCAGCCGAAGGGAAGATCTGACAGAACTGTGGCGTTGACATGATGGGAACAGCCACCCCCGCGCCTAGCGCCATGTTCACCAAGATAGTCATCTGTATGGCGACTGGGTCGAGCTTAGTCGTCGACACGCCACTTAGACTATAGGTGTCTAAGCTTTCTGCAACACAACAATCAGCATTTTCACAATCTCTGTCCCTGACTTTTAGACGAACTCTTACAACTATTTCCTTAAGTTCTTTTGATGTGTCCCTTTTTGTCGTAGTTCAAACCAGTTGCGTCCACGTGGGGCACGCTTCACTCCTATGTTTAACTGATCCACAGCAAAAACAGCTTCCGCTTGTCTTCCGAGACTCGGCTTGCACTTTGTGCACTTCGCTGACTGCAGGGTCCCTGCTCCGAGCTCGTCCATGAAAAGCACTCGCTGAATGCCTTCTTTTAGCAAGCCACATGCGAAGCGTTCCCGAAGGTACTCGCCAAGTGCTCTTCCTAACTCGCACGTTTGCGACAAGTTAGGACGCTTGGTGACGTAATCAAATAATGACTTTGTTCGATGCCTCCGGTGAAACTTTGCTCGCTCACCAGTAACGGACGGCTTCGGGGACAGGAGGTTGTTAAAAACTTTCTTGACAACTTCAAAACTCTTCGTAGAAGGCAGTTCTCGAGCTGTTAATGATTTCAACAGCCCGTAAGTCTTGGGATTGATGATGATCAAAAGGATGTGCACCTTGTTGCTGTCGGCCCTCGAGTGACAATCAGAAACGACGTAAGCCGCTCTTTGTACGAAGCGCAGTCATGGGATGAATCATGGAAAGGTTCCAGCTGGCCCAGTCTCCCGCTGAAGTACAGTGCTCAACTCGGCTGTCTATAACGACGGAGCGTCGTGCACGAAACAGCACAGGTGACATCTGCAGCCGCAAATACGCCACATATCAGCATTCGCGGTGCCAGTGATGTGACTGCCTCACAATACTGACCCCTCTTTATCGCCGCGGATGCGACAACCGCTTTGTCCGTCGAAAGCGCACTGAGAGATTTCGCAAATAACAAAAAAAAAACAAGAAAGAAGAAGTATAACCATTGTCACTGTGATACGATATGACGAAGCGAGACTGTTTTTGTTGCTGTTTTATTTTGATTTTGTAATGTTGACAGCGCTTCGACAGCCAAAGCAGCCATCGCGGCCACGGAGATAAAGACGCGTGAAAACTGCAGGGCAGGCACCTCATTGACGCCGCGCATGCTCAGATGTGGCGTATTTGCGACAGCAGATGTCACTCGTGCTTGATTGATTGATATGTGGGGTTTAACGTCCCAAAACCACTATATGATTATGAGAGACGCCGTAGTGGAGGGCTCCGGAAATTTAGACCACCTGGGGTTCTTTAACGTGCACCCAAATCTGAGCACACGGGCCTACAACATTTCCAAATCTGAGCACACGGGCCTACAACATTTCCGCCTCCATCGGAAATGCAGCCGCCGCAGCCGGGATTCGAACCCGCGCCCTGCGGGTCAGCAGCCGAGTACCTTAGCCACTAGACCACCGCGGCGGGGCAACGGCACACGTGGTGTTAAGATACACTCTTGTCAGTATGTACCAAAACACCAGTTTTCCGAAGCAGTATTTTTTTTTTTCACTTAAAAAAGCACGTTTAATATGTGAGAAAGTGTGAACATTTCGTGTTCATTCCAGAGCCTAGCCCCGGGCACTCGTAGCCATAACCATTGTAATTAGAAACTTTATTGAACTGAGCACAAACTGAAATTAGTAATTAGTCGTTCTTCGCATAAAGATAAGTACAGTGCTTGGCGATAGAAACGTGACACGAGGAGCATGTGGCTGCTGGTAGTGAAGTTGACGACGAGGTGATAGCGTTCGCGAAACATTATGATTGCATCAGGTGTACACTGTTTAGTTTGTCGTTCTTGGCAGCGTCGGCAGAGCCCTACTAGCCGTGGCTTCAAAATATTGTGCTCACTTGGCGCGCTGAGCTGCTGGGAGCTGGCGGGCGTACGTTACGAAAGATTGCAGTGCTCCGCCGGATTACTTGAGAAGAAAAAACTGACGTAGTGTTTACCAGAAGCTGCCAGCATGCATTACAAACGCTCTTTGTCCCCACCATCACATTCAGTAGCCATGAGATCCGGAAATCACATTTCAATCGCCGAGCACTGTACTTTCACTACTATAGTGATGCCTAAGTATTCTGACGCAGTTCGTTTGCTAAATTTTCAGGAGAGTAGTCGAAGCTAGAGGCTGCATACTGCGAGAATCGGAGGGTTGTCCCGACAGAGCACGGTCCTTCCTCGAAGCCACAATGGAAGGTCTTAAGGTGGCCTACGAAGACCTCTGCAAGACCCACCACCTGCAAAAGAATGCTGGTATGCCATTCTTGCCTCGCCTGATGATTGTGCTAGATGAGCAAATCAAGACCACCTTCCTTGGCGCAGCTTTTGTGTTCTGCATTGCTTGCGTAACCGCAGCTTTTCTCATGCTATGGATGAAGAAAGCTGAATGGCTGGCATAGCTCACGTAATAAACTCTGCGTTGTGTCAAAACCGAAATTTGAGCGTTCGCACATTTCTTTTTAAAAGTGGAGCTGTTTGTGGTCGACGTTTATCTCTGCGTAGCGTAAGGCAGCTCCTAGAGGGTATGCGCCACAGAAATCATGCAAACCCCACCATTCACATCTCATCCACCCGATCCAATAAAAATGAAACTGTATACAACTAGTCCAGTGGGCATGTACCGCAAAAAATGCGCAAAGTCGACTACTCACCTCCATTCCACCAAGTGTTATGCACTTGAAATTCAAAGCGCGCTGACTGAGTATGTTGGCAAAACTTTTCTGTAGCTAAATCAGCCAACGAAATAGCAATACTATACCACCAGGTGTGCTGCTTGACCAGTCCTCAGGGCATTCAGCCAGTGAAGCCACGTAAAATGTTTTTGTTTCCAGTGCAATTGTCTAGAGTGGACAAATAGCATGGGCACCTTCTCGAAGCATCCCCACGTTGGGCCAGTCAAGGTATCTTTCAAGAACTGCACGGCTTGTGTTGAAGTAATACACTGAAATAAGCATACAAAACATTGCTAGTGGTTGCTAGCAGCATGAAAGCATTGTTTTTCAGAATTATCTAAACAGTACGTAAAATAATATACAGAGCAAAAAAAAAACTGATAATTTTTTTTCTGTTTAGGCGACGGGTTGCTTCAAAAACCGATTCCTATGTTGCAACGTTAGTTTGTGCCCCTTTTTCAGTCCTCGTCTTTTGTACACAGTAGTTCAAAAAAAGTTTGTCGAAGGAGGAAATATGTGAGTTACCCTACTGGTTGCATGCATAGCAGGCACAACTACACAAGACAGAGAAAGCTATTACGCTGATAGTGCAACCAGTGAAACTAACCAAACAGGTTTAACTGCTCTTTCGGCTGGTTTATTCACTAGACATAACCTAATAATGCACAAAAGAATAAAGTACAATGCCACAGCATTGAGCCACAGGTCAGATAATCACCGATAATTTACACACCTTGTCTTGTTACGACGAGATGTTAAAAAAAATAGGCTAATGCTGTAGCGTTTATCATCTGGGAGCTCGTTTGAAATCTTACGATGAATAAGACGAGTACAAGGAGTAACAGTGGGATTTTTGTATTGTTTACGTGGGAAGCTTTGCTCCTCATTGATGCCCCTTGAATTTCCGTGATTACTCCACAAGATGAAACATGTTTCGAAATGCTCTTTGAGCTTCAATACACCCAGGACTGCCAGCCGCTTTCCCAATATGATAGTATAGGGAAAAAAAAGGAAAACACTGTGCAGTTATCAACTGAATTTCTGTTTTCAAGCAGCAGCGTTATCTCAAAATGGTCTTCACGCACATATGCAGTGTGCTTCGTGTAGGCCCAACAATCATATAAAATGTACTACAGTAAACACTTTTTTTAGACATCCCTATACTACCATAAATAACGTTTTTGTGATTCCAGTGTATCTACGGACGGCGCAATGCATTCGTCAGAACCCGGCCACACATTGTATGTACTTGTACATCAACCAGCTAGACTCAATTGTGGGCTCCAACGCTACAGCCAAAATGCAAATGGCTTGCTGGTAGGTCAACACATTTGCGTATTTTTTTCCATGCAACAATTTTCTTAGCGTCTATGTTTATTAGGCACTAAAAAAAACTGTAACAAAGTCTTGATGATTGTTAGTACAAATGGTTTGCACTGCTACACTCACTAACATAAAAAACACCATAAGTCTTGATGGGTTTTTTAAATTGTTTATAAAATTACTGAGTAGTAACAAAACCGTACTCTTGGACAGATATAAAAAAACGTGATATTCGGCCACTACGAATTGCTCAAAAATAACGAAACTTGTAATTTTGTGTTGTTGATGTAATGCAGACGCACATGGCTGGTTGAAAAAAAAATGTGTCCAGAGTTTAATATAATGTAACCATATTAGGTAGCAGCCCATTATGCTGAAATCATGAAGGTTGAGCCTTTCAAATAAATAATGTGTAAAAGCATAAGCTGAGAGCTACAGTATATTTGAGCGAGCAGCCCTGGCCATCGTCCTGCATTGCCACGTCGTGCTTAGTTTTTTTATGAGCAAGATCTTTTCTAGCATGTTCGAAAATGTTCTTGCTTCTCACCCATTACTTTATCCACAGTATTATTAAGAGATAAATTCTCTTGTTCATGTGCCAGGCTAATTAATGTAATTTTCAGCGACGAAACGCTTGTTGTAAACGGGGACCTTTTCATGCATAATTAGTGATGCCGTTACACGCGTTGACATCATAGCGTTAAAGAGCTTGTTTCACGAAAATTCCGGCGTCGGCGCCAGTGTGGGCGTCGTTTGTTTTGAGTGAAAAATAATCATCTTGTCCACTAACAAAAAAAAAAAGATTGAGAACGATGTTCATGGATGAAATATTAAAAATCTCCGGGCACTCGTCATTACAGAAACCAGGCGTGCTGCTTGTCAAGCAGGACTACGCCTTCTTGCCAGAGTCTTACACCAGAGCCACGAGATTTGTTGAAACTGATATATAAATGTCGTGTAGCGGAAGGAGTCTTCTTGAAGCTTAGCACAAGTGTAGAATTGTGCAAGGCGTCGTAAATGTGAATTGAATGACGAGTCGGTGCTTCAAAGGCCCACCCATAACGTAGGACTCGGACAAAATTAACCATCATTAGCAGCATGACAAGTGAACAGCTGTGTAAGTTCCCGTGTCGCCCTTCGAACGTGTAGTGGGCTATTGGATGATCAACAAAAGAAATACTAACGGCGTAGAACACATTTAACCACTGTTTTTGCACAATCCAGAGATACTTTCTTTTCCTCATGGCACGGTACGGTTGAGGCATGCACCGAGAACCGAAGCACGTTAGTAGTACCAGAAAAGATTACGCTATCGCAACCTGCTCTAGAAGTCGAAGCTCAAGCGTTCTCCAATCTTTTGTGGACCCCAAATTCATAGTCAATCTTCTATCAGATCTTGATGGTTCACTAGACGAAACTGCAGTGCGAATATTCTGTACTCTAATTTCGTACCACGAGTCATCAGCTCGCGCAGCGGACATTGTGAGGACTTGGTACCCATGATCATAAACTGCAGAGCGCAAATTAGGTGCGGGGCAAAGAAGAACCTAAACAGCACAATACCAGTGTGTAAACAGCACAATACCTTTGCTATCATGTACATGCACTGGACAGGCGAACAGGACAAGTGAGCAGGGAAGCCCAGGATCAACGCTTGCCTTGTGCCATGTGTGTATTATATCTCGTGCCTAAGTTGCGCTGTGCAGTTTACCATTATGAAGCTGATACCCCAGCAACGAGTTCTCCTAATGCTCATGTTCAAAAGATGGCTGGACAGGAAGCCACCACTTTTTCTCAAATTTCTACTGTGCACTGGGCAGTTATTCGGCTGCTAAAAAATCTCACCTTGTCTTGTTTGTGCATTTTTTTAGCAACATGCAGTTTTACTCGCTGTGCGCCCGTGCATCCATTACGAAGACATGCGGTGAAGCCGCGGCAGACCAGGTAATGGACCTGATAAACGGCATGGCGCAGGCGCCAATCCTGGCCAGCTGCGGAAACAACATACCCGGCTCAGATAAATGCCGCAACGCCCCCTACATAGCAGCCGACAAAGTGATGGTGCCTAAGGGTACAGTGCTGTCACGTCAGCTCAAGATCATCCTCGAGGAGTCGTGATCAAGTATGGCGAGGAATAAAATGCACTAATTCCTGCGGTGCATCGAAGATGAAAACGGTCGGTTATTTATTTTCAACCAATACTGCCACACGCACATTATCTGCAAAATCCTACCAGATAATCAAACACTCATACTGCGATTGAAATGTACGTGTCACATCTACTGCGGTAGTATGTTAACAATTACGAGTTCTAAGGCTGCATGCACGGCTATTTTTTCAATAATTTTGGTTACAATATCCATAAGAAGTGCAGAGCATATGTGATAGTTTTTAAGGGGAATAGAAGAATGAATGTCGCTAGAGCAAAAGTTTCCGCAAAGGTACTTGCCATTATAAAAAACAAAAACACGACTGATGCCCCCCCCCCCCCCCCCCCCCCGTCTTAGGAATCGGTATAACACGAAAGCGAAACACGTCTTTACGGAAGTAGTTGGTTGTTTATAATGAATTTATGCAGGTCAGCTAGTAGTACAATGCCTATTGGTTGAATAAAAAAAAGAAAACACCGACCTGAAGGCAATAAAAAAATGTAATGAGACATCCGACACCTTTACTATTGAACAATACAAACAAGAAAAAGCACACTCAACCGCCCGGATGGTAATCTGAGCTCCACTTACGCAAGATGTTTAGGTCACATGCTGTAGACTATTTAAGCACTTGGCTTCCACCGTTTGCTTCCAGTGCGAACAACACTCTACGTTTTGGGTGCCGAAGCACTTATTGCATTTTAAATGAGAAGCATTTCTTTGCGACCTTCGGCGACCTTGAGCGTATCTATCTATTTATCTTTGTAGCTGCTCACGTTTGGGTGCTCTCGTGGTCACCCCCTTAGCTTGGCGTGAACCAAAAATAGCATGGGAGGGTAAGATGGTTGAACGAATCTGACAGCGCTGGTCAAGACATAAACAATGTCCACAATCCCATCGCGAGCGTCGTCAAACACTTCCCGACTGATAGTAACACATACCCACGGGTGGGTATGTGCCGCTGGTGTGCGGGTATGTGCCACAAGCGATAGGAACTTAGTATCTACCCAGGAACTACGAGAACACACATGGGCAATTTGAACGCGCGGGCGTTAAGAAATACCCGATATTAGTAGCGTCGATCCGACGAATGCTAAGAATAAAAAATCTGAGCACACGGGACAGCATTTTCGCCTCCATCGAAAATGCAGCCGCCGGTGCCGGGATTTGATCGTGTGACCTGTGGGTCAGCAGCCAAGTACCTTAGCCACTAGACCAGCGCGGCGGGTCAATACATTTTTTTTCTTTTTTCAGAAGTACGTCCAGCAAAAGTAATGGCCAGAGATCTCGGTGTCACTTGTGAACTAAACGGATGTCTCTAGGTTATTCATGCGTGCCGGGAATGCCTCGAAAGCCTCCTTCCTAAGACGCAAAACTAGTCGTGAACATAACACAGGAAAATCTCAGGGGAATGGCCAAAGGCGCCACAGCCCGTGTCAGCAAAACAGAAGACTTCGGCGAGAAACTTCTAAAGCTCCATTTCCACCTTGGACGTGGAATTCGGCTTAATAGGAACGTTCGTGGTACCATTTCTAAGCAGGATGGTCATTTTGCTTTCGTAATCTCTTTTTTTGCTCATTATGACGGTGACGTCGCCCTTGTCAGCAGCTAGAATTATGATGTAATGTTTTTAGGAGATTCTTCACTGTGCTCGGTTGTGCTACAAGTACTCCAGAGGGAACCAGTTGGGGCAGGATAAAAACCCATTGCTATATAGCGCAGCTCAGAGTGAGCATGAAGAAAAGGTGTGACAGTGAAGAAGTGAAATACAGACAACAGCCTGCTGTCTGTATTTCCCTTCTTCAACATTTCATCTTTTCTTTGTGCTCAAATTGAAGCTGCTCTGAGGAGGCGGCAAGTGAGGTACGCCGAGGAAGCTTTGCTTATAGAACTGCATGGTACGAGCTTCTTCTCGCCGGGGGTAGTCAATGTGGTCGATGGCGCGCTCGAGCACAATGATCATGTTAAATTTTGTGTGGTGCAGGTCGAGTATTAAATTTGGGTCCCGACTCGAAGATGGCAAATTCTGGATGAATGGGGGCGTAAAAGGGCACGTTGCACACAATGGATAAGACATCGCAAGGCGGAACCTCAACGTTTCTTACTGCTTCAAAAAAAAAAAAAAACGAACAACACCAAGCAATGTCTTAAAGGTTACTGCAGAAAAGCAGATGTATACGGCAGAAATAAGAGGTCTAGATTCAACCTAGTGTGATATGGGAAAATAACTGACGAACAAAAGCAGTGATAATATAGAGCAACTAAGGAGTGAGTAGGCCATATTAGGTAAGCGGTCATAAGAATGAAGTAAAACCGACAGCTTGGTATGTAGACAACACACGCTGAAAACATTTTGTGTCGAGCTAGACTGCATTGCATTTGGTATAAATTCAATGTCAGTTATCGCAGCATATCTTGAAAAGTATATGCACACATTTAGCCTTCATCACGTAGAGCATGTCTTGAACAATAAACAAAGAGAACGTTATTATCAGGGTTAGTGTGTAATAAAGGAAAAAAAAGGCCAGCTGCTCCTAAGGCGAATCCATAAAAAAATGAAACAACAAACACACTGATGCATGGGAAACATCACGTCTCTACGACTTTTGCTTTTGACACGTTTGTGGAGGAGCCCATACAAAGGAGATGAGAAATGATGTCCCAGGCATAAAGATGCTGGCATGGCGTGGCGGGCACAAGCTAGTTTATTCTTCTTGAGCTGCGCTTGAGTGCAAGCACATTTGAGTGAATAATGGGCTCGTTTCACGGAGACACTTGACTTGCGCAAACATGACACGCACTGGCACGAAACACGTCAGGTGTTCCGGAATGCTTGCCCCTGGCTTCCACATAACTAACCAGAATGGGTTTGTAACTTTGTCATCTCACACAGATCAAGCGTCGCTAAATAGGAAACGGTTGCGCAGTGAATCGTTTTATCTAGCAAAGATGAGAAACTCCAATTGTTTGTTCGGGTTTGTTTAGGTCTTTAGTATTTTAAGAAGGAAGTAGAAACCTGAACCGTGACGTGGCCGCACAGGAATGAAAACAACTTTTATGAACGAAACTGTTAATCTATCGGTAAGTTGTGAATCGTTATGCAAAACTGCTCAGGCGGTTATGTGCTACAGATATTAGGCAAACACCACCACCGTGCACAGCAGGTGCAAACGTTCAACAAAATGACTTATTCATTCCATTCCCCCTTGTTCTTCACATATTTTCTTGCTTGTTATTGCGTTGTGTCTGTCCCTTTTTCCCTCTCTCTTTTATCTATTTACCTTTCTTTCTGACTTTTTTCTTTCTATGAAGCAAAAGAAACACGTGAAAGAAAGAAAAAGAAAGAAGAAATAAAGAAAACAAACAAACGAGGAGGGCGTTAATTTTAGATCATCTCCGTTTTATTCTTAAAAGGAGAGATGAACATAACGTTATAGAAAGCAAGAAAAAATGGAGCCCTATAAAGGAATTAAACATGGGGAGTGGAGAGAATAAGTGAAATAAAAACAATAACACGGAAAGACATAACGACATGCAAAGACCGAGAATGCAAGTGAAAAAAGGGCACAAAAATGAGGTAGAAAAAAAAACATGGAGCATTACAGAAAGAGAAAAAAATACACAGATAAAGGAAGCAAATGAAAGATATAGGAAATAAACAGACAGAGAGAGAGACAAAAACAAATGAAATAAATAAAAATCAAGATAGAAGGAGTGAGGAAGTGAAAAGAATAGATAGAAAGAAACAGATACCGAGAAACAGATTCACAAGAATTATGTACAAGAAACAAAAAAAAGCAAGGAGAAAAAAATGATAAAGGGGAACAAGAAAGCCCACCCACCTTCGCTTGGCAGTACTAGTTTGAAGCTACCATGTATGCTGTTTGTAAAATATCGAGAATTATGCACATGACCTAAGGCATCCAGTATGCAGCGCGTTTCAGCGAGGTAAATTGGGATAAATTAAAAATTCGGCAGATCCCACGTACCTGGAAATCGACGTTATGCGAAGCATGCGGAGGAAAGGTGACTGCGTCACAATTTTTTTATTGAGCGACACAACATGAAATGACGCTCAGTATGTGGACGAACGCTGCACGCACAGATATATGTTGAAGAGTTGCAGATGTTTATATAACCAGTTGCTTGCACTTGCACAATGATGCCAACTGGAACATGCGTATCAGCAATACCAGAAGCTGATATGAAGCGCTGATCCTCGAGAGATCGCTGGCCCTGGACACTGCTACATAAATCAACTTCAGCGCATGACAACTAACCACATCTGACGTTAACCCGACGTGACGGCTGTATCAAAAGAGTATATATGTAATGTTTATAAAATTAGGTAGGCACCACTGCAACCACTATTGACGTTTCACGAAGATCATCGCCTATTTGAAAAGTAGTTCCGAGACCTGGCGTAGCCCTGAATAAAATGCTTCATTGCCACGCAGAATGCTTGGGTTCGATTCCAGCTGAAACCCTGACATTTATTATTTGCATTCATCGGGTCGACGCTACTAATGTTTGAAATTACTACTACTAAATTTGAAAAAAATTTGATTTGATAATGTTGAGTATTTCTTAGCTCGGGCACGTTGAAATAGCTCATGTATGTTCTCGTCGTTCCTGGGTAGATACTAAGTGTCTATCACCTGTGGCACATACCCGCATACCAGTGTCACATGCCTGCCCGTGAGTATGTGCCACTGTGTGGCAGGAAGTGTTTGACGACGCACCCGACGGCATTGTGACATTATTCATGTCTTGACCAGCACGTCATATTCGTCAAACCATCTTACCCTCCCATGCTGAGTTCGGTTCACGCCAAGTTAAGGGTGTGCCCACGAGAGCATCCAAACGTAAGCGGCTAGATAGATAGATAGATAGATACGCTCAATGTCGCCGAAGTTCGCTAAGAAATGCTTCGCATTAAAAAATGAAACATTGTGAGCTTCTTATACACTCTACAACAGTTGAAGGTGAAAGCTCACGACCTTTTCTTAAGAGATTATGCGATGCAATCAGATACCAGAGTTCAAAAAAAACAACAACAACAACAAAACACCAAGAGGACAACGCGAGAGACACGCATAAAGTAACGTTTATGTTCTCATTCGGTTGCAGTACAATTTTGAACTTCATGAGTGAAAATAGCTTAAACATTGATATAGGCAGGAACCTATAAGAGGGATTTCGTCCAGTCAATTTTTTTTACATCCTTCCTTGTCTCAATCATAAGCAATTATTAATTTCATTCTGAAAAAAAAATACAACCAGAGGACTGACAGTTACGAACGAGGAAAACAAAAAGATTATTATTCATCCGGACTGCGTGCTTGTCTCCTCTTCATCAGCCCCCGAGTGTTTACATAGGAGCACTATAGTTTGTAGAGCTTGCCAGTACCCCCATTATGTGTTTACACAGATAACATTTACAGTACTGCTTTCGCAAGATGGACATGCTCTGTCTGCAAGAAAAGCGAATACACGGCACACTGGAAAAATAGCCTTACACTAATGTCTGAACGGGAGTAATATAATGACACGCAGAGACGGAGAAAGTACCCTACCGTATCACGAGTGATTAGTCAATTTAAACGCCCCATTCGCCTTCGACTGCCTATACGACTTCGCACTCCTCATCTCCGACAGAAAGAATATGCGTACAAAAGATTGTCCTCGTCAAGCACAATAAGAGTCATTGTGTTGTATGTTGTAAATAACAAGTTCTTCAATCTGAGGATGAGCTCTGATGTCATACTCCTCTTATTAGTTCTTGTGAAATATAAGTAGCAATATATTACATAGTAAGCGAGCAGTACGAGATAGGTCAAATGCTATGCTAGCATGGTGATATGAATACATATTACAGCGCCTGGCTTGCAAACCTCAAGTCTTTCCGTGAGAAGAACAACTAAGGGAAGAACAACACTCGCTTTGAAGGCAGCCAAGGGGAGGGAAGAGTGCGGCGGCAGCGCCTATTCTTCTCTGGAACACAATCACTTCATTCACGCAAGTCCAGAGTGCGCAAGGCGAAATGCATCCGGTGATTACAAAGAAGGTGTGCGGTATCTGCGCAGGGAATAAAAAAAAAGGAAGGGAGAAAGTAGATAAAAAGAACGAACCAAAAGCAAACGTGACAAGCTCAAGCCAGGTGGAAAAAGAAGCCGAGGAAAGGTTACTGACCTCTCCCATGCCGTCTCTAATCTGGGTTGAAAGCGACGCAGCAGTAAAAAGAAGCAAGGGGGCCTCGTTAAGAGGCGGGAACGGGCCATTTCCATGAGGCCGAACGCGATGCAAAGCAGGTGCAGTCCGCATCTAAAAGGCCTTACGGCACTTGGGAGACCAACCGTCACACATCGCGATTTCCAAGATGAGGCTTCGCTGGACGAGGTTGATATTCAGTCTACTGATCTACCACTTCGTACCAGGTAAGCCAAGCGCTAACAAAGTGCCTTGTGTAGCCTATAACGATTTCTACGAAGGCACCGAGAAAATGTAATAGGGCGCTTGTTTGTCTCCTTTTTTTTCGCGTCGCGTTAGTTTCCGCTGCCAATATTTCCGTATAAAATGTAATACTCTAGCTTACTTGAGCCCGTTGTTAAACGTCTAGCGTAGCTGTGTAAATTATTATTTCCTAATACACTGCACCAGAGCAAAAACATTGGGACGTCGGAGGAAGTCGCATTAGAAGACATCAGCGAGATTAACGTGGTGGTAGGGCCAGTATTTTATATATATTTAACAGGAAACCATATGAATGCAAAAGAATTCTCTTCACTGACACGTATTTGTGGCCCAAAGTAGGAAGTCGGAACTGATAGAACGGCATATATAAAATCATCTTGCAAGTTTCCGTAATGTCTCCTCTCATCTCAAAGTGGGAACTAATCGTTAGAAAAAGTCCACTACGTACCTTTTTATTCCACCTCCTTTCGCACGAGTGAAGAACTACGTTTATACCTTAAGTGACAGAGGAGCACCACGTGCAGTACCTAGCAAAAAAAAAAAAAAAAACGTATATATAGTATGCCGCACAGTGCGTGGAAGAATAACGATGGATCATTAACTCATTTCGATTAGGCGTTGCAGTGCCGAGTTGTATTTTTACGACATGGTGTAGTTCCACAGAGCGCGCCACAGCGAAGAAAACTGAAACTGCACTGCGAAGCTCAAGAAGCTCAGCCACGACACCCAAACTTCGCCTTCATGAGATCGCATACATGCAAAGCTCCGTCAGCTGATTAGTTGGTTCAGTTAAGGTGCCATAACCGAAGCTCGTTTTATTTTTGTATTTGAAAGGTTGTCCACGAAAAACCTACTTATGAATCTCATTATTAGAATATTTTCGGTCATAATACAATTCGATTGATTGATTGATTGATTGATTGATTGATATGTGGGGTTTAACGTCCCAAAACCACCATATGATTATGAGAGACGCCGTAGTGGAGGACTCCAGAAGTTTCGACCACCTGAGGTTCTTTAACGTGCACACAAATCTGAGCACATGGGCCTACGTATACAATTCGCACAATGCTGTAGTTTAACATAAAAAATGGTGTATGACTAAGAAAAAGACTGCAACTAACGATGTCACAATAATTCACGGTTTTTATAAACAGCATTGCCTACACGACTGCCGTATGGGATCCTAGAGTGTTGTAATTGCTAAATAATTATATGATCTGTGCTTACATTTGGTTCGTGTCATGTTCTCTCCTCGACTCAATGGCATTCCGTCATCGCAAACTCCAACGTTTATTATGTTAAACTGCGTGATTAAAACGGCACATGCCAAATCAAGGGACTCTAAAGCTTCGGCTTTAGGAGTGTAACGTGATAGCGATATTCTGTTCCCAGTGCGTCATCAAACACTTAGTGCAGGGAACCATTTCGAACTTGCTATGCACCCACTATGTGGCCTTAAGAGAACAGGTACCGTAGCGTGTGTGCCTTTCGTAGAGGGAGACCAGCTTTAAACTTCGAAGCCTTTATGGTAGTGACATGTTCTGAAACCCTGGCAACGAACTCTTATACCATCATTATTATTACTGCAATATTTCATGTTGCGAAGCTTGTATAAAGGACACGTGTGTTTTTTAAAGTACGAAAGCTACTTCCTGCATTTTCAAGCAGAGTAAATTCTTTTCACAGTATTCAGAAGCAGAAGGGTTGCCGTGTGGTAGAGACGGCACACAGAAGCAGCGCATGTGTATGTTGTCTCTTTCCTTGTGGTGTGTCAGTGTTTGCGCTGTAAAAGTACCTCTACGATTATGAAAAAACTAGGCCCAAAAGAAGTGTTACTGAAGTTCACTTGCATCATTGTCAATTTTTTAGATCACGCATAAGATGATTTTTCGCACACCCCCACCACCACCGGAATTTCTGAGAAACGAGCGATATCATATTTAAAACAGTTTTTAGTCGAACTTGTTTAAATTACCCCCTCACCAAGCTTCTTAATATGCACCCACGTCCATCATCCTAATGTCACAGTCGCTCTGTGTCGACCCTGCGCAGCTAAAGGCGCACCGGCCTCCCAAGAGTGGCGCCTGCGGTACGCCGAGTTGAACACGAAGGACCCGGAGTCGTGCCTGTTGGAGCCCGAACGAGGCCTCTGCTACGCGGCCTTCACACTTTACTACTTCGACGCCGCAGCGGGCACGTGCGAGGAATTCCTGTACGGAGGTTGCGGTGGCAACGCAAACCGCTTCGGCTCGCTAGAGGAATGCCAGGCCACGTGTGCCAGAAGCTCCGGCGTTCCCGCCGCCGGCGCAACGCCAAAGCCGGCAGAAGCCGCGCACCGACGAAGAGGAGACGCTGCTGCTTCGTCGTCCAGCGCCGGTTTCGTCGTCTCGCATGCAAATGGCGACGCGGGCCTCGATGCAGCCGGGACGAGATTGCCGACCAAGTCGGCACACGCTGCACAGACGGTGGCTGTAAACCGACGCAAGGAGCCCCCCTCGGCGAATGATGGCGCTGCTTTTGTTTCTTTGGACTTGCTCCCGTCGTATCACGGAGACCAAGTTTGGGATGCTGCGTGGCTGTAGCTGGAGCCGCAGCCATAAGCAAATGAGACGTATTTAGCCAAATTTCTTTGGTATGTGCGCAGCATTCAGCGTCCTAACCTTGCACTTCAAGTTGAGCGAATATAAAAGAGCTTGAGTAGAGTAAAATTTCCGCCCTTTCTCCTTACGGCCTCTTTAATAATCATATCGTGGTATTGGAACGTGAAACCCAATTAATTATATTAAATTATAATGTCGGGCAAAACTTTCCGTGGCTTTCTGGGGATAAACCATTGTATCATTATTACGCATTCAGCAAAAAGAGCCTGCATGATAATCTTGGCATTATAGTTTTTTTTTTATGTAATTCAACTAAACAGAAGACCATAAGGAAAAAAGAGAATATTTTGGTTAAGTGTTATTGGTAATCTACTTTGTGTTGTCATAGTATTCAACAACTCGTCTATTACAGAATATGGATAACCCACGTGAAGCTTTTAGGGTCAATAAAGTGAAATATTGATTTAGTATAGATTAAGAAACTACACGTCGAGAACTCTAGTGTCGTTACTCTAGACCTTATAGGTTCATTATTAAAAGAAAAATTAAGGTCACAGAAATATTTTGAAATTTCACGTTGAACTCGGCGTGCGTGACGTCATGACTTTCAACGTTTTGTCGTATTTCGCCGACAGTAGCTGAATTAAGTTTTCTAGAAAATTGCTATAGTTTTTCTGCGACCGAATCAGCAGGAAATGTGCTTTTTTTACCCAATAAATCTACGCAGGCGATTGGGAACGCCATCTAAATTAATGACGACAAGGTCATTTGGTTCAGGCATTTGAAGATGGCGTCGCCACCCAGGTTTTCCTATTGCGCGTTTTCTCGAGCGTCTCGTCGCGGCGAGCGTGAACACAGTCGACTTTGGAAGTGTAAAGTTTATTAATAATGACAGAATCGCTGTCCTCTTTACTGTCCCTTTAACGTGGACATTACTCTGAATTAAGTGTTAGATCAAATCGAAGCTTTCACGCTCAATTTCCTAAATGTTAATTTGTAATTCCAAGATGACAAAAAAAGAAAAGAGAAAGAGCATGGATGGCAAGCAATACTAACTTCATCTGTATGCAATATAGTCAAGTTGTAACGTCTAGAAAATATTATAAGCACGTATGTCACTGTGACACTCATGTATTAAAGCAGTGTTTTTGTTCCCTGTATCTCTTACAAACTTGTGATTTTGTGAACTGCGGCTCAATGACATAACACCATTTATTCGCTAAATGTTTAAAAGTGGATGAAGTTCACGGGTATAACTTCAAGTCATGGCGCCTTGAAGCTTGGCAGTGCATTCTTACGATTATTAGGCCTCAATGGGGTAGAATATTTTTTCCAAAGATCAATCTCTGAATCACCCGACGAATGGGTCATGCGCCAGTTTCCTGCATTCTTCCCGTGACAGCCAGCGCTTTCAGGCAGCTGTCCCGTACTGTCCCTCACTGCCTTCAAGAGCGGGACCCATATTTTAGGTTACAGGAAGCGTAGTACTACATCGCAAATCTTTTGAAATTTACCGAAGACAACTATCGCGGCATACAACAAAAGTGCGTCACTCCTCACGTGCTTAGAAAAACTAACTAAATTGGTGCGCTATTTTTATTTTCCATAGAGCTGGCCACCTCTGCTATATACACTTCAACAGTGAAAATACTGTGCTTGATGGAGGTTCCTGCTCTGTTTAACTGCATGTGTTGGTGCAACCTGTATCTTTGTGCGTTTCCTGCTAATATTTTTTTGCTTCCCATTCTACAGCCTTAATCCAGCGAATAGCACATGGTCTGCTCAATCGTGATTCGCATAGAAGGCGTCCAAACACGCACGCGTTGCGCGTTTACTACATGTGACCCTAAGCACTGAGGGATGCAACGTTCGCACGGCCATGCCTAGCATGGCAAGCGTGTCTCGAAGGTCGTCAATACGCTCGATGAGAGTACAATTCGCGGGTAGTGCCGCATGGTCACGCGGCTAGTTTGAACGGAGTGGCCCATTGTGGAAGCCGTAAAGCTAAGTGGCGGGCACATAATCGTCTGTCTCCGCAGTTAGCGTTTCGTTTTCGTTATAAACGACGGAAATGGTTGTAGCATTCTCTTACTAAGGATGAGGTTGTAGGCCTGAGCCTTGGTCTAGGCGACCGCATCACCTCGTGATAAGAACGTAAAATTACCCTCGTTAACGACCATAAGTACCTAATTAAAGACCTTATTTAATAAAATATTATTGCTGCAGACACTTCATGGAACCTTTTCAAGTATGTATACGCGTTCTGTCACTTGCTTATCTCCATCGTTTTCAATACCCTACGTGCTTGGAAGATTTGGGGTTCGGATGGCTCTATACCTCGTAGGTCTGGGTTTGATGCCGTACTCAAATCGAATGTACGGGGATCCACATCATACCAACTTAAGAACTACGGGGTTATAGTTTCTGTGTGCACGAAAGGTCTATGTTCAGGAGGTGGAAGGTTCGAGCACCGACACACTTGGTAATTTGTGGGTTCCCGCAGTTATCTACAATATGCTCTTATACGTTCATTGATGATGTGTAGTTTTAGCTTGATAAACTAAATGTCCCGGCTTTGGGAACTATTTGCTCGCTCATGTTCAGGGATTACAAATCGGCGTTTTAATAGGCATTCCAATTGGCGCTGTCATCATAATTGTGATAGCAAGGTCCATAATTACCGTTTAGTAAATACACCGCGGATGGCATGGCGTGCAGCATCTGCTTAAACGCCTTCAGTATTACGAAGTGATGCGTTAACTTGCCAAGATGCCTGAAACGATAGGACTATTGCAAACTTGCAGCTCGCTTTCTGACCCCCGAATGTGCGTACTTATCACAGGTGACGAATTAACACCAAAATTGTGTAGGCCATAGATTGAAGTGAGAAGGTGCTGTGACATGGCACAAAACCCCACATGAAAAGAAAGTTACTAACAGGGACGAAACCAGCAGGGCATGGCCATCGCGAAGAGGCGAATTCTTCTATGCATGACCTGCGAAACTAATAAACGGAAACTTACAATCAGAGACTATGTTTTCTGGCTTAGCGAGTATTTTGTCTCCAATGGTTTTTGACGTAAACTTAGCAGGCATTTCGTAAGCATATGGCTCTATTAGGCTACTTATCACTATTGAAAGTACGTGAAACAAATTAAAAAAAAGTAACAAAAAAACAGTTGCCCCACCACGGTGGTTTAGTAGCTAAGGTACTCGGTTGCTGACCCGCAGGTCTAGGGATTGAATCCCGGCTGCGGCGGCTGCATTTTTTATGGAGGCGGAAATTCTGTAGGCCCGCGGGCTCATATTTGGCTGCACGTTAAAGAACACCAGATGGTCGAAATATCCGGAGCCTTACACTACGGCGTCTCTCATAATCATATGGTGGTTTTGGGATGTTCAACTTTGCACGTGAATCATCAATCAAAGCTGAAAAACGAGAAGAACGAAAATGATACCGAAAGAGCGCCTTCATGTCTCATCTCAGTTTTTCTAGTTTTAAAGCTTGCGACACGTATTTCAAGTAACTATACACCAACTGGCGCAACATAACGTAGTGTTATTATTTATCATGGCAAGGATCGCGCCCACCTGCAGTAGTGGTCACAAGGCAATGCTAACATTTATCCACAATTAGGGCAGAATAAAGCAATTAAGCTAAAGGTAACCTGCACTAAATTATTTCATTATGGCACGCATTAAAAATAAGCAAATAAAGAGATGTAGGCTAATTTCAAGCTTAATGAAACCGCTTTCTTAACCATTGATCTATGAGTGTATATAGCTAATGCTGACATTTTGCGTGTTTTTTCAAAGTCGGTTGAAAAAAAAAAACGGCAAAAAAGGAATTTATTATTGCAGCACTTTACTTGGAAGTATATGTAGGCTACAAAGTCTCTCTCTCTCTGTTTTTTTAATAAAAAACAAGCCAGCACCGTAACTCACGTCAAAAGCTGTATGTCCCCACAGTTTGCCGCTAAGGAAAGTTGCGACATTACTGATGCCAAAGTGAAAACAAGTGGATTATACCACCGTCGCTGGAGACTGAAGGACGGCAGAAGACAGTCGGCGAGAATGCGCAGGTAGATGAGAAGCCGCGGTGGACGGAAATACGTGGCCGACTGTTTACCACGTCAATCACGGCGAAGGGACGTCTCAGGTTTGGCCAGAATAAGGAGAGGGCATTTACACGTGCACGTGCCGTCTGGAGTTTGTTGTAATCTTCGCCGCTCGGTTATAAAATGACGGCAAGCGCCAAGGCTCGTACGACAGTGGGCAACGACGCCTTGTTCAATTGCTTCGACTCAGGTAAGATTGTCTAGGATTCGATGGTTTCTGGGACGTCTATGCCATAAGAACATGTCTGTTGTTTGAATTGGAATATTTATTTCAATTGGGGTGTCGCCCATAGAGAAGCAACCAGGCGCGTCCACAGGATTTTTTCTTGGAAGGTGCAAACCTATGTTCATTCACAGGTTCATGGGGGAAGGGGGCAGCGCTTGTGTGGCTTAAGGTCCGTTCATTTCACCTGCACCAACCGGAACCGGTCCAAGGTTGTGCACACTATGCCCAGAAATTGTGCAGCGCGAGTTCAGCGGTGCAGGCACAGCGCGACACACGAGACCACTGACTATGTACCGACAAGGTGGAGGCCTTATTTCTGTTCACTTTATTTATACCGTTCAACTAACACTGACCGATGGCAAACCGCTCATGCGGACAGTTCATGAGGCACAAACATCTTGGTAAAACACACCGCGTTAGTAGAGGCGAGTACGGCGCCTATACACCTAAACGCTGCTTCGTCTGCTCAGCTGCACGCGCCGCTGCACAATACCGGCACCATCAGCGTAGGAGGTGTTGGAAAATCGTGAACCAGTGCTGCACCTGTTCTGCACGTTTTGAAATGAATGGCAGGGTTCAGAGGTCACCAATGCTGCACCGCTAAACCGAATGGTAAGGTGCAGCACCTCGAGAACTGGTTCGTTTGGTGCAAGTGAATTAAGTGGACCTTTAGGTGGTGGACAAGTGCTGGTGCAGCTAAAGGGAGAGGGGGGGGGACATTTTTTCTCTTTTCACTTTTTCAATTTCTGACAAGTCACGATAAAATTAATAATTACGCATATGAATATTAAGCAAGTGCGCAGTGACGCACAAACTTAAAGAAAATGTTGAAAGTAAAATTACCGATGAGAACAATAAATATACATAACACCGAACGTCGTTCCGTGTATGCATAAATCGACTTAAGAGGCCAATTTAATGGTATGTTAAGGCATAATAAAAGAACCGCTGCATGGGAGAAATAATTCTAATGGAAATAAGATTCAACACAATCGAACTGCTACTTGAAGGATGTTTCAGCGATGTTAAAAGTAAATCAAAATAATACAATATCATGGAAACATAAATGCTTGCGTAGTATATACAATAATAACGTTCACAGTAGGAAAAATATTGCCCCGCCACGGTGGTCTAGTGGCTAAGGTACTCGGCTGCTGACCCGCACGTCGCGGGATCGAATCCTGGTGGCAGCGGCTGCATTTCCAATGGAGGCGGAAATGTTGTAGGCCCGTGTGCTCAGATTTGGGTGCACGTTAAAGAACCCCAGGTGTTCTAAATTTCCGGAGCCCTCCACTACGGCATCTCTCATAATCATATGGTGGTTTTGGGACGTTAAACCCCACAAATCAGTAGGAAAATATTCTGGTTAAATAGATGAGAATAATGATGTTCTGTCTGATACAAAAAATGTGTTACCTACGCACAAAGTATTTAATTAAAATATGTATTTGCCAGTGAAGAAAGAAAACCACTACGGCTACTTCTTATAAACCAGTACTACTTAATCTATTTTGTCGCATTCATTTAAGCCACCCGAGGCGGCCTTTATATGTGCATGCTATGCGTAAAGGGTGTGAAGTGTGTTGTTATTTGACATGTTGTGGTACTGTCGTTAAAGAAACGTTCATAGTATTTTCTCATTGGAACCTAATACAAACAAAAGGCCCGTTGTCTATTTGAAATTTTGCACGCACCAGAAGGAAGGTGTGTGTGCGAATGTGAGCACAATCTTTCGAGACATATCGCCAGTTGTATGAAACCGAAAGGGACATACGATAACAAACGGCAACAAAAGAAAGCCTGTTGGTCTTGGACTGAATAACAAGGTTACAGCGGAAAACACGACACTGAGAGCAGCAGCGGCTGCGACATCCGTGACACTCAATGTATTCCAGTCACATCCACAGACAGGCCGCCTGTGGCTTAACTTTTACTTGTAGCTGCCTGCCGCTTTCGCCAGCAATGCTAACGGTCTCCACTGTCCTTGGCTTCGTTGCACGCAGGACGCAAGATGAGGACCGTCCCAATTTTTACCTTTTTGGTCGTCCTGGCTGTGGCCGAGTGGTAAGTTCTCGCGACGATGGAATTATGGTCACGATGGTCGAATGAATCCTGGTCTTCTGTTACCTGTCCCCCAAACGAAGTCCAGAATGAACGGATGGATGAGGCGACGCCTTTATTATATTATAGTGAAGCGTTGTATGATAATTGCTGCAAACATTTTATAGACACTTTTTATCCTTCTTAACATAGTACATCCTGCAATCTGGCAATATATTTGTACAATAAAATAACGAGAATATGTGCAAGACTCCCGCATACGTCAAAGGTCATTGGCATAATTCTAACTTAAACATGCCGCATATAATTATACAGATGTTGTATATGTTCTCAGTACAATTGCTTAGATGGTATGCCTAAGGTTTTATACAATCAGTATATATTCTGTAAGAAGCCAGTGAGACTGCTCGCACCAGTGACGTAACAGAACCATGAGACATTCGAAATAAAAGGGCGACTGAAGGCTAGATGCGATGGTGGCGCTGGAATCTGCAGTGATGCGGGTCGATAAAACCATAAAATAACGTCTATATTATGAAGATTTCTCAAATTATGCTGGTACTTACGCTAAGAACTTGATACATTAATACAGAATCGTCGAAAAAAGTTTAGCACTCCTTCAATGCATTGAAAATCTTAAAATGTTCTTAAGGTGTATAGGAATAATAATAATAATAATAATAATAATAATAATAATAATAATAATAATAATAATAATAATAATAATAATAATAATAATAATAATAATAATAATAATAACAAAAATTATATAATAATATCTGAAGTTAGGCCCCACAAAACCACCATATAATTATGAGAGACGCTGAAGTGAAGAGCTTTGGAAACTTTGGCTATCTAACTTTGGCTATCTGTGGTTCTTTAACAGGCGCCTAAATCTAAGTACATGGGCCTCAACGTTTCAGCCTACGTCAAAAATGCAGTCGCCACAGTGGGGATTTGATGCCGCGACCTGCGGGTCAGCAGCTGAGTGCCATGACCACTACACTATTATGGCGGGGTGAATTTAAAGAGAGAGATGCTATTTACAAAGAAAAACACATGAATGGGTGCACAAATTTCCGCTGACATTATTTATTCTTACGATCCCTCCGGTTACCATTGTCACCTCTTTGCCAACATTTTTCGCTAAGTGTCCTAAACCTGGACCTTGCGTTTGTTCTTTCAAGCCAGTATAGCAGTGCTATCAAGAGGCACCGTATAGGTAATGGTTGAAGCTACAACGATGCTATCAAAGTTTAGTATCCAAATCATTGTTACATGACTCACTTATCTCACTTAGGTGAAGGTTGTGAAAAATTGCCGTGCAGCTAGTTTAAAAAAATGTACTAGTGCATTGAACGAGCACTTTCAGTCATGAATTGTAACATCATCTCATCCACGCACATGGTGCAGTATAAAGTGTTAGCGCAAACCTCGAATAATAAAAAATACAGTTACTGAGATACTGATATCAAAACGCGACTATTAAACGCACGAAGTTCTCATTCAGCGTTTTTTTTTTAACAGCAGAAGGAGCAACACAGAGCGGGGGAGACAGCTTCAATTCAATCCACGTAAAAACACCGCCTTGGCGTTCTAGTTCATGCTTAGGGCTGTTAGCCAGTAAAAAAAAAGGACAAGAGACGAAAAAGGTGCACGCGACATGTGGTGATCAGCGCATGTCATTTGACATACCTACTCACCCATTTTCCCACTAAAAAATCAAGTTGCATACATCAACCATGTAAGAAGCGAATCGTTAGGAGATAATTACTTGAAAAACAAGCATTGAAGCCATGGAGGATAAGTAAACTACATTGCTCAGTGATTTTAATATTTAAACTATCTACTTTCTGCTTTATACTTTCTATTTTCATCTATCTACTTTCAGTGTATCGGCCACAAGCGTCCCAAATTGCCAGAACGTGAACTGCGCTGAGGCGAGATGCCAGCCCGCTGACTGCACATGCGGATCATACAAGGACGGTTGCGGCTGCTGTGACATCTGTTACAAGGTATAATTCGATGGTCATTCCTACAGACCACTTGCTGATTTCTTAGTAGTGACGCATTGCTTCAATCAAGAAAAGCGAATTCTTTCAGAGTGGTGCTTAAATGTGTGGCTGAGTGCTTCAAACACATCAAGTAATGCGAAGGGTCGTAGGAGTAGGCTTACGGTCAATTTTGATCAACTTAGTTTTACTAAGGTCCTTTCGACGTGAAGCACATGAACGTGTCAGAGTTTCGGCTTTTGTGTGGCCACGACAGCCGGAACTTATTTGGCGTGGTAGATGAACAGTAGCGTCTCCACGCTTGCAGGCAGGATTCGATTCCTGGAGGCCGTAGTTCTTTCTCACTTAAAGCCACGCTCATGTACGTGCGTTTCTGCGTGGTCTAAACAACCCCCGCAGCCCTGGTGGTCCAGCGCTAATGGTGTTCCGCGGCCGATCCCAGGGACCGAATGCTGGCCGCATTTCGATGCTTGAGGCCCGGGTGCTTCGCGGTATAAAGGATTTCACGCTAACGAACACCGGATAGTGAAAATATTTCGAACTAAGGCTTCACCCATATATATGTGTTGTCGTAAATTCTGAAAATTCAAATATAAACAACACCAAATGATATCGTTATTTTGGCTTGCAAGGCATCCCAACCTTTCAGACAATAGGCTGCGTACAATCATTTTGAGAAACACACATTCATGCATTTTCCGATTTTTTTTCTATCGCAATAATGAATGGGCATTTCGAAAAATTTCCAAGCCTTCTCATCGAAGTAGTGAGTTGACGGCGGCAAGTTTGTTGGCTTTAGAAACGCTGTGCTACATATTCCAATGATAACCAGCGCAGAACAACTAACATTCTAGGAAACACGGACACACCAGCTCAGCGCTAATCTTGTGTGTATGTATTCTTCACTGTTCGCCTTTTTGTGCTGGGTAACTTTGCAATAACCTGTGCTCTACCGTAACATTAAAAAAGGAAAATACCCAGCACCTGAAGAGTATCAGCAAGGCAACTAACAAGTGGTTCACGAGGACAAGAAATCTTCAGTGCAGGCTCAGTGCGCGATACACAGAAGTTTTCGTCTTTCCTCTGACTGTCACCGATGTGCAACGGTATAATCTCTATAGTTAAAAAGCAAGCTTCTTTCAATATGTATTTATTTGATTTTTTTAAATGCGAAGCACATCTTAGTCTCATCGGGTTACCGTCAATTTTGGTAAGTTGTCACGCACTGAAGTTGATTTATGTAGCAGCGTCTAAGACCAGCATCTTCGCGAGCATCAGCGCTTCATATTAGCATCGGGTGTTGCTAATACGCATGTTTCAGTTGGCATCGTTGCGCAAGTGCGAACAACTGGTTATATATAAATATCTGCAACTTTTCAACATATGTCTGGGCGTGCACCATTTGCCCATATATTTAGCGTCATTTTATGACGTGTTGCTCTATAAAAAAATTGCAACACGGTCACCTTTTCTCCGCATGCTTCGCATAAGGTCGATTCCCAGGTACGTGGGATCTGCCAAATCTTTATTAGCTAAAATACTCCAGCTTGGGGTTTACATGAGAGATGGGCTGTTATGCAGTGACAATTAACAACTTCAAGATTTCAAGGTTTGATTGGCGCACAACAACTCTGCCAGTCTCTTGCTGTGTTTATAAAAAATAGCGTATAAATGCGTACAGTGTCCTGTTGAGCACCTTGTCGTCTCTTTTTCAGTCCTTGTCTTAAGTTTTACGCTGTTTATTAAACGTAAATGCGCAGTGGTCTGGAGTGTGGTGATGGGTAGACCACTTGGTGTGATTCCTGCGGCAGGATGGACAATGTGCAAGCAAAAATATCAAATTGCCAGGAGAGGAATGATAAATGTTGTGAAAAGGGCACAACCTAGGTCTAAGGCGCCTTTGTTCTAAGTTGTCAAGATGTGCTTCGGACTTCAGTTTTTTAGCACTACTGTGGAAAGAATATCCTGAAGAGATGTAGCAAAATGCGCGGTTTCGTACTGCTTCAAGCGCTTTATTTCAGTTAGTTTGATGAGGGTCCCAAGCGGAGCATGTGTGTTCTAACTTGAGCCGTACGCATGTTTCATAAGCTAACAGTTTGACTGATGGGGGAGCAAGGCGGAAGTGCCTTCGAAAATATCCCAATGTGCGGTTAGTTTCGTTAATGATGCTTGTGATGTGAGAGAACTAGGGATAATTGCCGGAGATGTTGACGCCGAGTTACATGCATGAGTTGACAGGAGAAATCGCAGTGTTGCCTAGGACGTACTGTGCTGGAGGGAGATTCCCTCCGCTGGAGAAAAATACTAGCACACCCCGGCTCAACTAACCACAGGCTCACAGTCATTCGATAGCTGTGAATAAGCCATTTTGCTTGCAGTTTTATAAAGACCAGTGAACAAAAGAAGAAGCGCCAATCGAAGTTCTCTAATTATCCAGTAAAAAGAAAGGCAGTGCATGACTGCACATACTATTCAATATTGTTGGTCTTACATTGCAATGAGAACCTTCTTGATTTTACTTACAATACACGATGTGTTTCTAATTATGATTGCTTTTTTCAGTGCCCCGGAGACGTGTGCACTCCCTTATTTCAAGAACGCTGCAGTGGGGACAAGATCTGCGAGCTGGATGAGCCTGGAACCTTCTTTTTTGGAGGAAAGGGCAAATGCAAGCTATCCTAGTATACAAAACACGTTGCCTCACAAAGCATAATGTCACTATATTTAAATAATTACCGTGCAAGGTGCTTGCATTTAAACATGATAACTTCAAGTATTTTCTTATCCCTTCTCACTCTTATTTTGGAAAGCGTTCAATGCATTATCGTACATAATACGCATGCTCCATGTAATGTTTTTTTTAATTAGAGATAAAAACAAAATTATTAGTTTATTAATAGGCACGTGTGGGGTCCCTCATTACTGAACGGTGCGGGGGAGGGTGACAATGTATCAGTGCAAACGCCTCTACCTTTTCTCATATAGTGGAGTACGCGAGAGAAGCTTCGCAATAAAAAAAAAAATTACCGACGGTTATGATACTGTCAAATGTGAATTTTGGTCTAACTTTGTCTTGGGTCCATGACAACTGCCTGCCGTTGTGGTCTAGGGGCTAAGGTACTCGACTGCTCGACCCGCACGTCGCGGGTTCGAATCCCGGCTGCATTTCCGATAGAGGCGGAAATGGTATAGACCCATGTGCTCAGACTTGGGCGCACAATAAAGAACCCCAGGTAATAAAAATTTCCAGAGCCCTCTACTACTGCGTCTCTCAATGGTGGTTTTGGGACGTTGAACCCCACATATCATCGTGTATGAGGTTTTGGCTATCCGTTGTTGTACCAATGTAACTTTCGTTACATATTTCCACAGAAACTTCCAGCGCTCGAGCGCTACGCAAGCCTCACTGTTCATTGCAAGTGTGGCGAGCCGAGCGAAACGATGATAGCACCGCTACGACAAGCGAAGCCAGCCGCATTGAACATATCAGCAGTGCATGCGCACGAGCTCCGAGTGAGGGGCTGGTGGCTCGGGATATCGACAGACTCCGCGATTACTTTCTGTCATCCTGAACGACTTTCAATTGGTTCCTGTTTTTTTTTAGGGGAAAAGCTATACACCAGAACACAGCGAGCTCCATGCTTGCTGCCATATTGAGAAGCGCGTGGCACCGTCTGTTGCAAGCGCGGCGAAGCAACACTCAACTGCCAGGTGAGCAGACACTCTGCAAATCAAACGCGAAACTTCACAACTCGAGTCCGGCTGTAAGCATGTTTCGCGCTATTCCTGTGCTGGAAGTTTATGCTGATTTCGTGTGAAACGTCGAGGAGACCTTCCTCGACATTTCGGAATGTCTGCAGCACGTGCATTGCAGACTACTGAAGCAGCTTCACCAGGTACGTAGTGTTGCGATTGAAAGAAACGCGAACAGCGGAAAGCGTTGCTTTCGACTCTGTCAAACTGCGGCCTACCTTGGCTGCGACAAGACAGAATTTGTGCTGTAAGCCGGCGTCAATGTAGAGCTATAGAATCTGGTTCCAACTTACGCTCATGCACCGTATGTGTATCAATTGCCCGTCCTGCCAAGCACTCGGAAGACACGCGGTGCAAAAGTGCCAGCCAAAACAAGATTTTAAAATGCTACGGTGACGCTGGCCGAAAGCACGTGTAGATTCGCCTAGCGACAGTCAAGGCATGTCGCAGTTCGACCGAGTCGAAAGTCATGCTTTCCGTGCCGTTCACGCATCGCGGTAGCAGGCCGTTGCAGTTGTACTAAACATGCGCGGCGCGTGCATCCACGCGCGAGTCGTAATACGTATATCCTATTATTCACACGCGGCCTGCGAAAGAGTACGGCAATAATTATGTGCCTCATACTGCAGGCATACTTTCACAGGCAGTGCTCAGCTGTCTATTCCTGTTGCGCTGGTTGTTGTCGCATCAGATGATAGCGCAGTGGTACCCAGAGGACATTTGATAAGCGGGCGCAGCGTGAACAGGCGCTTTTTCGCATTTTTAACTCCCAGAGCCACTGCAATTCTATGCTAGTGAGGCGCGCCTTTGCAGTTGCAAACAAATTATGGCGTCTCTGGAAGCGAGGGTATACCGCCGAAGGCGCCTGGGTTCGAGGTAGGCGTGCTCTCGTCTATGGACCTATTCCATGTTTGTGACTACGGTAGGCGCCGAGTGACGTCACGGCACGTTGGCTCCGCCCAGTCGTCCCAGCTGAAAGCGCGCCACCAGCCACAATGATCATGTGACGACGAGTGGAGCAGGCGCGCAAGCTGCCTTCGAGAACAGCGTGTCGGGACACCTCTCGCATGTTTACAAGTTGCGGCTGCAACAGAGTAATTGCAGTCGCTGTAGATGGGTTCTGAAATGAACATATGAGCTGTGTTGACATGTAGCTTTAGCTTTGAGAACCTCATTAAACATATGAAGTACTATGAACTGCAGAAACGTAGCTCATTTGCGAAATATCATCATCGTTGCTGCAGCCTAGGTCACACATGCACACTTTAATTTGTACCAATTCAATGAGAGACCCTGCTCAGCAAAAGTCTCTAGAGTACAATATGCAAATACGCGGTGTAAAAATACGTAGCCATGAATCGCTACGGTAAATCCTCACATTTATTAAATGTGCCGGAGAAGTTATTCATGCAAATAACCAGAACAACCTCCGCGGCACTTTCTTTCGCAACACGCTTCCGATAAAGCTTCAAAAATATGCTATGGACAATGCGGTAAGGTACTTGTAAGGTCCGCGGCTCAATTCGTACGCTCAAACCGACACCGCGAAATGCGTACGACTGGGCAAGTTTCTTGCGTGATGTTTTTCTGTGAATTCACGCAGACGTGAAAGCCTAGTGAAACGCACCAGAGTTATCACAGGACGCTTATGTCAGGTGTCACATCATCTCAGCCGCATGCATATAATCATAAAAAAACATAGTATAAGTCATCCTTTCGTTCGCTGCTACATTAATGAACCATACCTACGCAGAAAGAAACACATGCTCGATCGTTGGCTCGATGACCGAGTAACACGTTTAGTTCACGTCAGTATGGCGACATCATTTTGGAGTGTCGAAGACTTGTGCAGTTATATCAGCAATGGCGACCATGAAAAATAATTCGGATATGGTAATGCTATCCAGAATGTTAACGTTCTTTGAGGGAAGTGTGCTCAATATGCCTCCACGCCGTATTAACAAAAGCGTAATTCGATGGCTTATTCCAATCATTGAGAGAGCTAATCGCTTTCTATGGGTAAGCCGCTCCAAAACATAACCAATGACACGACGTCGAAGGCAAGCTCTCGCGTTTCACAGCCACAGCTGTGAAATGCGAGAGCTAGTAGCATAGTATGTCCTAGTAGCATAGGACAATTACATCCTATGCTACTGTGTGCATGCTAATTAAAACATTGCTAATCAAGACACTGCTGTTCAAAGTCGTGTTGATTGAGCTATAGCTAATTAGTGCTATTGAAATTGAGATTTAAATGACATAGAAGAAGAATGGCGATTTGGGCTAGTTGGTTTGAATTCATAGTAATAAGGGCTGCAGCGCGAGCACGAATGTGCTAGAAGAAACAGACAAAGTCGAGGTACGGAAGGCAAAAGAGGACAACACGAGCGCTCGTGTTGTCCTCTTTTGCCTTCCGTACCTCGACTTTGTCTGTTTCTTCTAGCACATTCGTGCTCGCGCTGCAGCCCTTATTAAATGACATAGTATTCGCTCTGAAGCAGGCCGAGCAGACTGAGTAGACGAGCCACCTCAAAAGCTTGAAGAAGGTGTGTGATCATAAGCTCCTCCTATGACGCCAGCCTTACACAAGTGTGAGCGCTGACCAAATTATTTCATATTAAAGGAAGCTACTGCTTAGTTCCCACCACACGAAACGCTTCACAGTCACATCGGCACTACGACAGTCACGAGCTGAACTGGGGTTATCTCAGAAAGATCTAGTTCGTATCCGAGTCCGCGCGAGCAAATGTTTGATTGACAAACGCCCGCAACGAAGATCAGGTTCGCCCACAGCGTTTGTTCTTACCGAGGAGCAGGGCTTAAGCCGCAACGCCAGCGAGCGGCCCGATATGTATATCAGTATGACTGCACAGACTATGCACACATGTGCATAGTCTGTGCACATAACTACAGTTGATATTGTTACAGGGATCACAAATACACGGAAGAGAGAAACGAGTGTATTTGCAATATTTACAGGTAGGTGCGACACGCCTGGACTGCAAGGATCTCGCGCGCCGAATCCGCTTCTTCATCGATGCGTCTACGACGGTGGAGCCATGCCCACTGCCTCGTAACATCATCGCCGGCGGACGAAGCGCCGTCACGGCGCCGCTAAGTCAATCAGGACTGGCAGTGTAGTAACGTTTTAGTCGCGACACATGAACAACATCAGTAGGTTGTGTGGCAGATGAGTGTGGTTCAATGGGAGTGATGAGGTAGTCGACGTTGGTGACCTTGCGGAGAACTTGTGGGGCCCGGTGTATCGTAAAAGGAGCTTCTCACGCAAGCCTTCGTGCCGGTGCGGCGTCCAAAGTAGGACGAGAGAGTCAGCAGGGTAGTCAACGTCGTGGTGCCAATCATCGTAGCGGACTTTTTGTAAGGCCTGAGAAGCAATGAGCCTAGTGTGCGCGATATGGCGAGCGACGCGGGCTCGAGACGCAACGTCCTGAGCATACACCGTTGGTTTGGTAGTATCAGAAGGAAGGAGTGTGTCGAATGGCAAGGCAGGGTGGCGGCCGTACAGAAGAAAGAACGGAGAATAGCCGGCTGTGTCATGCTTTGATGAATTGTACGCAAACGTAACGTGGGAGAGCAATGCGTCCCAGTCACGGTGATCAGCAGAGACGTACATGGACAACATGTCTGTAAGAGTTCGGTGGAGGCGCTCTGTGAGACCGTTGGGGTGGGGATGGCAGACAGTAGTAAGGTGATGTTCGGTAGAGCAGCTACGGAGAATTTCGTCGATAACTTTTGCAAGCAAGCAGCGGCCACGATCCGTCAGAAGCTGGCGCGGAGCCCCATGCCACAGAACGACGGCATTCAGTAGAAAGTCTGCGAAGTCTGTAGCGCAGCTACTTGGCAAGGCACGAGTTATAACTCGTGCCTTGCCTTGCATATCTCGCCGCATAGTCAGTTGCGACAGCGATCCATTTGTTGCCGTACACGGAGGTTGGGAAAGGTCCGAGCAAGTCAAGAC